AAAAAAAAAAAAAAAAAAAAAAAAAGGAAAAGAAAGCATCGATCAAGAATTGAAATTTTTCCACAATATCCGGAGTGAGATTGAAAAAAAAAAGGATGTGCACGTGATGGCACGCTCTCTGACCTGCTGAAGATATCCTTGAGCTCGTGCTCGGACACGAATTGGCCGAGGTTGGCCACGAAGAGGGTGGAACAGGGCGCGTTGCTCACTGCTATGTTCGGTTGGGACGAGGGTGAACCAACCGGCGATGCCAGTGCCGGCGAGGGTAGGAAATGGGGTAGCGACGCGTGTATCGACGTCAGCGTCGTGGGATGCGGCAGAGACATGGGCGCCTGCAAAAAGAAAACAGAAACAACAATTTTTCATCGTTATCCCCTACCCTTCGCATCGATTCCGTCACTTGGAGCTTATCACAACTTTCTTTGTTTTTCAGCTTTTCAAAGGCGTTTAATATATATATATATATTCGTGAGGATTTTCTGTTGCGACGAAGAAAAGAATTTTTCCTATATCTACGTTTCGTGTTTTCGTCAGACACACGCCATTTCGAATTTCGTTCGATTTCTGGTTTGATCATGTTTGAGAGAGAGAAAGAATAAATATTTTGTTGGATATGGACAATTTTTTATTATAGGAAAGAATCATTATTAATATTTATTAAATTGAAAGATTATAAATCATTTTAAACATCTCAGTTTACGTTTGATACGCGTTTGAATCTAAAGTTAGAACAATTCTAGGAATAATATATTCAATAATATATTCAATTTCAAAAATCGAATAGTTAGAAAAGTTAGAAACCGCGTTATAAATCCACTGTTCGTTGCGACCAAGAAATAAGGTATACATAAATTTGAAATTTTCCCAATATTTGCCCAAATTAATATCCAATGCTAAGGTATAATTCAGATGTAATCGACGAGGCACAGTGCAACTAGGAACTAGAGTCCATGACCGAGTTACGGAGCGTGGATTAATTAACGCAAGAACCGTGTTAAATACGAATACGCGGGGATAATTTGCAGCAACGTTACAAGAAGCGTCTCTATTTATTTAATGATGGAACGATCTCGGCCGTGAAGCGGATCACTTTTTTGTTCGTAAATGGGCGCGCGAGCCCGTCATGAATTGTAATCCCAAATATCTAGGAATATTTCGTACAACACTTTTCTCGATCTCTCGCCTTTCTTTCTGTCGCGAACGAACACAAATACAATTGGAAAATTATAAACTTTATTTAATAATTAATTTTGATTTAAAGATAAATAATGAGTT